ATGCATCAAAACTTTTTAATACCCTACCCAACGATATCAGAATTATAAATGTTTTTAAATCTTACAACACTGAGATTAGTAAAATTCAAGATATTTGCTCACTTCTTCCATCTCGTAGATAATTTTTTTTTTTTTTTTTTTCCCTCCCCCCCCCCCCTCACTTTATCACTATGATTCTATTTTGTACTTCAATTTCTGTAAATATGTTCACTTATTATAACTTGCGTATTTGTTTGTAAATTGTATTTTCATTGTTTTATTTTCTGTTATATGTAATCACGGCCCTGCTGAAAAACAGCTTTTGCTGAATGCGGGCACAATTGTATTATGTTTTTAACCGTGAATAAATAAAATTTACCATACCATACCATACCAAGTCAGCTAATGAATTTTATAGTTTATAGCTAATAACAAGATTTTGCGGTAGCTACTTGCATTCAATGTGTGATGACCAGGGCCGTCGCTACACCATTTAGAAAATGGTGAAGTAAATATACCGACAAGCTCTTAAAATACATGAAACAAAATAAGATAAAATGATACAAAGTTACCAAATTAAAAAATGAAAACGAGGGGTCTTTAGATTTTTTTAAATTTTCGACAGGGAAGAAAGATCCAACGAAATATAGTTTGGCCGACAAATCGATCACCGACACGAGTTTTCGATAATGAGCAAGGGACCAAACCCCAAATCTTCCAGTGGCAAAGCCCCTTCCTCCCCCGCACTCTCCCCTATAGGCATGACCGGTTAGCAACAGTTCTGTTAGCTATTTGTAAACGTCTCTTAGATAACCGACTACCGCGCACCCCAAAAAAAGTTTATAAATGGAATACACACGTTTTAGTTTCACTGTAAACAAATCATACAGAACAGAGTTTGAAGGAATGAAAATCTGATTCTGTAAATGTGAGCTTTCGCGGTTCTACACGCAAAGTTATTTTTATGACTAAGGTCTGGTTTTGAATCATTATTCATCGCTGTGGTATAGACAAGACACACTCATACAAGAAAAATAAATTACGAACATGTAAGATAAAAATCGATGACACAGATAGACGCAGAGGCTTCAAGTATAAAGAACAAATTACAGGAGGAAGACATAGCAATTTAGACTAATTACAAATAAAAGACAAAAATGCCTATCAGTAGAAATATATGTAATCAAGGTAAACAAAATATTTTTAAAAGTATATCATGCCTATTAAATTTACCCAGATTATTTAACATAAACCAGGAGAAATGTGGGATTATGACAACGGAAAGACGGAAAGGAGGAGAAAAGCAGAAATATTGAAGATGATGATGATGATGACAATGATGGTAATGATGATGCTGATGATGGTGACGATCATATATAGATGAAGTATATCATGCTGATTTATTAGTTTACATAAAAAAGGAGAAACGGGTGAAGTATGACAACGGGAAGACGGAAAGAAGGGGGGAAAGCAGACATCTTGGTGACGATGGTGCTGCTGCTGCTGCTGCTGATGATGATGATGAAGATCATATATAGATGAAGTACATCATGCCTATTTACCTAGGTTAGTTTATATTTTTTTTAAAGGAGAAATGGGGGAATATGACAACATGAAGACGGAAAGGAGGGATAAAGCAGAAATATTGGTGATGCTGCTGCTGATGTAGATGATGATGGTGATGATGATGATGATGATGATGATGACCTACATGTAGTCAAGAATAACAACAAAGCGAACCCTGTAAATGATGATTCCTTCAATATTCCTACTCGAACAATCTTCAACCTAACATAATGTAAGTCATTCACAGGTCAAGAATAGCTATGACACCAGACTAGCTTTCTGCTGGTTTCCGACTCGTCATGGTTGTGTCTTGGAGCGGCTTCCTTCCTGCTATCATTAACTTGTAAACTAATATCGGCGTCTTTAACACAATCTTTACCAAGGAGAGGGTAGTTTGAGTGAGGCAAGACAGTGAGGGGGTTAACAGTGGAATCATGCCATTGTGACCCAAACCACTGACCCCGTACAGGTGCAGCTGTAATATTCGTTGGGTTCACACGAATTTCCGTAAACTTTAGGTTTAGCTCATGGCTTTAAACTTGGAGGTCATCTTGTCAATTACTATGTGGACTCACTCGTTGTTTATCGAAGATTGAATTTAAACCAGGAGTGGTCTCATGGTTGACCAAAACAATTGGGGTAACGGGTTGAGGGGGGGGGGGGGTCCTCACTCGAAGTAATGAGCCATGCGCAACTACCTTTGAGACTATGCCAGTTTGTAGTTTAATACAACGACTGCTTGCCCGCCCGGCTGGTAGTTTAAAACTTCGAGCAGTCGTTGTTCCAAGGCTTCGTGAACACACGTATTTGTTAGTTGGTCGTTGCTTAAAACTTCGAGGCTTCTCGAATCTAAAATTTAAAAAAAACGGCGATGCCGTGTGAAAACTGCCGTGTGAAAATAGATGTATCTATTGCTAAGTATAAATAAAACAAAAAGGACAACAGGCTACTCACACTATACTCATTTGTATTGTGTTATTGTCTTAGCTAGGTTCCCCACTTGATTTCCGTGATAATCCTCTTCTACTTACTTATCTGTATCCCATTTCAAAAGCGGATCGAGTTAAGGGCGGAGCGGGTGGGTGTCCCTGATTTAAAACCCATTTCCCAGCAAAACAAAATAATAACGGACAAACAAAACAACAACAATACTAGAGACAAAATTTGCGTCTGGCACACGGGGCCCTATGGCTGCTGAACATGACGCACTGTCCCTCAATACTTTTTTGCACTTGTAAATCTTCGCATTCATTGTTTGTGTCGTTTCTTTTATAACTGAATGGCAATCGGATTGTATACGATGGACTGAAGAATAAGAATAAGAAAAGGTATCCAAAAATTAAAAGGAGAAAAACGTTCCGACTTCCATTTAAAAAACAACCAACGCACATTGTAAACGGTTTTGTAGGCATCATGGAAGATGATCTTTACCAGTGCAATACGATACGTGTAATTTCTTAGCAGCCAAATCTTAGTAGAATGAACTCGGCGCTTTAAGACGCATAGCGTCACCGCACAGCCGGTCGACCGGCCTTCATTGTGTTACATGCTGCATTATCACCAAGGCGTCGGAAGTGGCCAGGAGCAAGGATAGACATCTAACTTAAATCTTTAAAAGAACTTGCTCTCTAGACAATTTTATAAAAATAAGATCATGCCTGCAAGGATTTATAAATCCATACGATGTTACATATAATCACAGTGATTCAAAGATTACGGGAATTCATCGATTATGATTTTTTTTTTTAATTTGATAACTCTATCTCTTATGTCTATTAAGATAGCATAGCACAGATTTCTCAAATGTTTCCAAGCCGTAAGCTCTTTTAAACATGTATTTTGAAAGATTAAGTTGAAAGAACAAAAAATAATTATGTTTCGACCGGGCACAGGTTCAACAAAGAAGTCTATACGCGTTACTATTAATTAATCAAGCTGACCTAACACGCCATTATTGTAAGACAGCTTTGTATAGTCTCCATGTTTCTGTAACATATAGGGGGAGTAAGAGACTCGCTTCTCAAATATGAGGTGTAGTTTTTCCCGAATAGTAGGGGGAGGGGTTGCAGCCTCCAGCTCCCCCCTCACCCGTACGCCTGTGTTTATATCGCTTACAAATTTCTCATTGACATTATTGGTGCCCATCTCTGCCTGTTAAATATGTAAGACTTGTTTCAGAATGAAAATGCTTACCAATGAGGATCGCTCACTTAAAAAGATTGTTTTCTTATTCCTGTCATTCAAAGGTCATATTATGTATTTAACCTTTTATGTCTGTATGCCATTATCTGTCGGAATTTCTGCTCTCCGTCTATATCTCTCTCTCTCTCTCTCTCTCTCTCCCTCTCTCCTTCTCTCTCTCCCTCCCTCCGTCTCCCTCTCTCCCCCTCTTTCTCTCTCCCAATTGTTTTAGTTACTAAGGCATTTAGTGAGGTTAGAATATTGGATGCGGCATTGTAATCTTTGAGATTTACACTATTTATATTTTGGAAAGTATTCTTATATGTTGACCATTACAACATAAAAATGTTTAATACACAAGTGGTGAATTCGTATTCGCATGCTAACATTAAACATTCTGATTATGTTCCTACTACATTTTAAGCAAAGCCTCCTTATGACTAATTTTTACGTGTCATTATTACTAGTAACATTATAACAACAAATGGACACACTAATACACCGCAATAACCCTTGGTCTTTAGTGGTAGCACATAACAACGTGAAAGAACTCAGTGCTGTACTACTGATATGTGTACATCTTCCGCTTGCTAACATCCGTAGCACAAGGTTATTTCCTTCCGGTGTCATCAGCAGATCCCACGTTATCACTGTCTCTCTCTCTCTCTCTCTCTCTCTCTTTCTCTTTCGCCCCTGTCTTTTTCTCCTGTCTCTTTCTCAACCCCTTCCCTCTCTCATGTATATACTTTTCTTTTGGCATAATCTTTCTCTCCATGTAGTATCCATTCATTTTGCCCCCCCCCCCTCTCTCTCTCTAATCTTTACATGTTTTACCCCCCCCCCTCCCATTTTGAAATATTTATATTAAGTTGCGTAATCCATTAGTTTTTCTATTTACAATTTTTTTTTTTGCACCTGAGTAATTGACTGATTTATGTATGTATGTATGTATGTATGCGTGTATGTATTTATCTATCTATTTATCGATGTATTTATTTATTTATCTATTTTTTAATTCTTTTTCAATTTTGTTTATGTATTCATTTACCTATTCATCTATGTCTTATTTATTCATATCTGATCAATGTATTCATTCATATGGGATCACCTTGGTTGGTCCATATGCATTTATGAACTCTAAAATAATATTCTATCAATATACATTGAGCTTGAATGTCAAGATAATAAGTAAGTCAGTGATAAGCCACACGAAATGGAACATATCATCATTTCATAAAAAACGACTCATAATAGAAAAAGAATAAAAACAAAAACGTTCTGTACGTTACTTAATTAATCTTTTATTTACATCTTTACATGATCTATACAACTACACTATTGTTTTTACAAACGTAAACATTGCTCATTACATATACAATTACTTTATATCCCCGTATATATAGTTCTATCATAACTTTACATTAATATACAACATAATTCCTTAGGAACAAATATCTTACATACCTTTTCTGTACATATTTATTACGAAGCCGAGTTCGAAATGCCGGCTAAAATGATTTTGTGCTGCAAAAATGTCATCAAAAACGTCGGTTCAAATTTCCTATCAAATATAACTTATAAAACGCATACTACTACTACTAGTTATTCAAATTGGCAGCATGTTTTGCTTTAAGAAACCTGAAGCCTTCCATCCTGCTATGCACTTAGAATTATGTCCTGATAATAAATAATGTGATATCACTTATTAAAAATATACAAACATGTAAGGCAGCTGTTACATCGAAAATTCTGACAACATAATTTAGTTTCATTTGGAGACTTAAACTTAATTCAATTATCTATGTTTTGTTGCATCCTAGTTGTGTATTATGATTATTCTAATAATTATTTTCCAATATCAACATTTTATACATAACGAAATAAAAGTGATATTATGTATGATAGAAGTAGAAATATCAGGAGATGCATCTAATTACATCCATACCTATGGATCGAGAACCAAACAAAATACACGAATATTTTCAACAAAATTAGGAAAACATGAAGAGTGTTAAATAAACGAATGAGGAGGAGTACGAGTGAAAGGGAAAGGGAGAAAGAATTGATATTTATACGAAATCAATATCAAGTAAAGGAGGAAGAGGAGTGGAAGTGAGGAATAGACAACGTGTAAAAAATGTAACCTGTAGAAGGGAATCTCGAAATGATACTTATAGAAATTAGACAGGAGCAAAGTAAGAGAAAGAGTAAAATAAGGAAAAGAATGTATTTAAGACATATAGGATGGGAAAGAAACCAACAGACTTAAATATTATACAGCAGCTCTAATATACAGCTAAAAAGGAAACAAAAAACATTGCCTTATGAAGTTGATCAACTGTAGGATATGGAACTTAATCTTGTAATTACTTTTTATAAACTCATTATGCGTGATGCGTGATAACGCGGCATACTTCGACCAGAAATATTCGAAAGAAAGTTGAATTCATGAACATAGGAACCATTGTTTAGTTTTTTTATAAGTGAGTGGTTATAATAAGCATGTAAGGAAAGATAAATGGATTCTTAAAACGCTGGTAACTTAAGTTTTTAAACACACACATAATCATCTAACAGACGATAGATGGATAAATCCCAAATTGCACAAAATACAGAAAGAAAAAGCAATCATAATATTCGATACTGTCACACGTTATAAACTAAACTGAGATTTATTGTACAATAATAATTCACCTGATTGGTGCTATAGAAACAGAAATTATATAATTCCAGCGAATACGCTGTCATTTATAGAAGAGAAGAGATTACTGATTACAAAGTTTGCGTCTTACTGTATTTTATTTGTGAAATAATTTGGTGTAGAAATACGTTACGAACTTATCTTTCAGATATCTGGGTAATAACATTAACTTGATGAAACTGTATCTGATTAAATATTGCTTTATATTCTTCTCTTAATATTCCGACTTATAGCTACGTGGTGTTAAACTTCGGTATGTTTAGCAAATCTTATATTACTATTGTTCACACTAAAATTCTGCTTTTTAGGGTTGTAATCGAATTCAGAATCACTATCACTGGTGTCTGATATTTCCTGCCTTTCCTCTTCGATTTTATCATCGGTAAAAGCAAGATCGGTCTGGCTGGCATGGGTCGTGTATTTCTTAAGAGGTGGGCATTCCTCGTACTTATGCTCGCTTGGCTGTCGGGTAAGCGTAGATTTCTCGCCTGGCGGTGTCGGGCTGCCTCTCTTCGGCGACCCTTCGTATGTGTTGTCCGTGGATTGGAACCGGTGAAATGGAGATCGTTCCATGTCGTCCATTTGGATCTCCTTCCCACACTCCTTCCCGTACTCCTTGCCGCATTTCCCGCCTAGTTTGCGAGTTGGTGATCCAGTCAGCTTGGGGTTGGTCTTGTACTCTGGCGACTCTAAGGATCTCAGGTGCATAAGAGCAGTAGCGGAATCGATGCTCTGGGTATCGTATGACATGGTGCTGAAGTTGCTCTGCATCCGTCCTAGGGAGTTGCTTCGATGCTCTGGATCAGGGGTGTTGTGCCGGGAGTGGAAGATGATGCTTTCGGCGATCGAGCGAGTGTCATCAGGGCCGGACATCATCGTCAGCTGGATTGGTGTGTCCCGACGTCGGCTGAAGGCGATGTAACCCAAGATAATGATGACTACCAGGAAAGCAGCTGCGATGATTATGATGATAATGTGCATGGTCGTCAGCATCATCGGTCCTGTAACTGGTGCTTTCGTAGGCGTGGGTTTGGTTCCTTCGGGTTCGGGTGCGGTTGTTGAATAACACAAGGCATTCGGATCATCGTTCATAACATTGATTGTAATAGATGTCGATGCTTTTCCGATGGTATTGTTGGCTGTACATGAGATTACGGCACCGTCGTAAGCCATGTCGACTGTCGTTAGGATCAGCTGGTCTCCTAAGGAATAATGGTTCATTCCCTTCGAACATCCCTGCGCCTCTGTCACAGTCCAGGTGTACTGAGCCTCAGGGTTAGCAGAAGTAGCGCAAGTGAAAACAACTCTTTCAGTATTGACTTCGACAACTGCCAACGATGAACCATCATCTGGAAGCATTGCAGAAGTTATCGCAATGTCCATCGGTTTGTATTTAACAACCAGAGGACCCTCTGTACAGTATTCTGGCTGATCTAGTAACTCCTGGCTTAATGTACAGCGGAATATCTTCCCGTTATCTTCCTTTCCAAGAGTTTTTTCGTAATTGAGCCTGATCTCGTTGGTCAGGATTTCCGTGGTTTCATTAACAGGTGACAAATCGTAGGTTGCACTGAGAGTCGCAGGTGGGTTTCCAAGATCAGCTTGACAAACGAATGTGATTGTATAGCCAATGCGCAAGTCTGAAGCCGATTCGGGTATTGAACACAAGAACGACGAGAGCGAAGGTGAATACTCAATGCTCACTGTCGCTTCTGTTGAAGTCTCTATGTAATCTCTAGAAGAAGCTTCTTGAATGATACATTTATACGCTCCTTTATCTCCCGAGATTATGTTTTGGATTTCAAGAGAGTAGTCTCCCTGAGCCCAGTTGCCGAATAAGCTGTATCGAGACGTGTCTACATGCCGGGAATCGAGGCTCTCGTTGTTATTGCGGGTAATTCTTGTTCCATCTTTGATCCAAACGACAAGGTACCCATCAGATTTATCACGGACCATGCATGTCAAATGCACGGTCTGCCCGAAATTTACAGTCTGGTTGTCAGGTCCTCTTGATATTGTAGGAACTCCTTGACAGGGTGTTAGTCTGGCCGTGTAGATGAGAAGGAGAACCAGGGCACCTGGTAGTCCTGTTCCTACCAATTCCATGTCCAACAGAGAGCGTTTTGTCACAGACGTATAGAAAGTTCTGCCACTTAATGCTTTCGTTCGTTTAATTAATCACTGGTTGCAGACGATATGCGACAGCAGAGGCTTTTGTTTTATTATAAGATTTTCGAGTGCGAAATGTCGAGAGTTTATTAATCCAATATGGCTGCCAAATTGACTTGAAAAGACGAATGGGCTACTCTTTACTTGAGAAAAATGAAACCAACTATACTGGGTGTGACAATGCAGCTATTCAAACAATCGATGCTTTTGGATCGGTAGGTAAGACAATAATGGCTTCATGTCAACTGACTCCCAAACAGCTATACAAACCTTAATCGACATAAACCGGTAACACCTTCTTCCTCCCGATATCCGGCGCATGTACAAACTAACGCGGTTGGTTGTACTAGGTGTATCAAAACAAAAAGATAACACCGCGCACTGGTGGTGGGTTTATGTGTGGTACATTGAGAAAAACATAGTCCAGTATATGAGGGAGTATATTAATCTCGTTAACTTTAACAAAAAGGCAATAGTTACTCTCAATATACACCCAGTAACAGAGCTTACTGACTTGGGTGTAACGGAAGTAAGAATGGAACTCAGACTATCTATTCCTTTTTTTTCTCCAAATTTGATACAGAAGGGGGAAATAATTAATACAAAATATCATGATACGCAAACAAGTAAAAACAAAACATTATTATTATTATTATTTTTTTAAACAGAGGAAATATAGGTATTGAGTGCATGAAAGGGTAGAGAGGTGATGTTGTGACTTTAAAAAAAATTAATTTGTGTTCTGTTGTGATATCTCCAATGTCTTTCAAAGACGTCGATCTAGTGTTTATATCGTTTTAAACGAGGGGGGTAACCTACTGTTTTATCCAATTCATGGGACGGGTGGAAATCCTGACAAACCATGCACAATTAGGAATTAACACACTGCCGAGGGAATCGAGCAAATGCAGGAGAGTCGATATCGTCAGCATCGACGGATGCATCAGCGGTTTATCGTGAGTACATCCATGGGAGGGGGCACTGGGAAAATTTAAGGGATGGGGCCCCGGTCATACTCAGAATATGAAATGCGAATGTTCAAGGTTTGTTGTGAGATAGTTCATGCGTTTTCATGTTTCACTTTTTTTCTCTCCTTTCTCTTGCTTTATTTTCTCGCTCTTATTTTCCCATTTATTTTTTCACCACTAAATTGAGGGGTGGGGGACGTGCCCATGAAACATAGATTCATCACCTTATTATCTAAAAACATTTTTAAATACTATCCTATTTCTCTTCTACTTCATAGATTCGTAACACATCTGGTAGACTAAACAGACGACAGGATATACTGGCGAATTAAAACAAATACACCGAATGATGAAGGAAAGACAAAACAAGGGGACCACAAAATGTGCGCCTACGTGTATTTCAACACCCGACGACCACATCTTGAAAATGCTGAAGTCGGATTTTCTCCTCCGACTTGTTTTCGACATTGTTAAATGTGGCGAGTAGGCTCTTGGATTTCCTTTTTCCTCCCAATGTTTGTCTTACTCATCCACAGAGAAACATCAATTAATAACCATGTCTGAATGCCCTTTGTTGGTTTCTCTGTTTCACGTTTAACTGAGCATCCCTGTTGTTTGAGACGTTTATGTGTTATCCATGTTATCAAAACATTTTCATGTCACGTGAACGGGTGCATGTTTCTTTTTCTTCCAACATCCAGGTCAAGTGGAACTGTTCTATTTCATTCCCTCTACCTTGAAATCGTTTGTTTTTCAGGAAGATAGGAAAAGATGACAATATAAGAAGATGGGATTTCTTGATCCTTCGGCACATTCATTGCATTCAAGGAAGCCGGACTATGTATGCTGTGGTCACAACCCGGAGATGCGGTCGGGTCGCAGGCCAACTTTAGCGATCAGCACGTCTTTCTTACGATCATTCGTGGGCGCCTTGCACCCTCTTCAAAAACATACTCCCCCACCCCCTTACTTGCAAAAAATCCTTGAGGTAAACTCACAACCCCCGTACAGGTGCCTTTCAACTGCAGAGCAATGTCTTACGGCTCCGTTTCGCTATGTACTGCGCCGTGCGGCGCCGTAGTCCAACTCAAGTAGCCCATGCACGGTTTGGGAAGTAGTAAAACGGCTACCAGTATCACCTGCCTTCATCAAAAAAGTAGCCACACATACAAATTATAAGACATGTCGAAAAAATGGCCTGCAGGCGATAGCGTACTCTGCGTGCAGACCCGTGCGTCCGGCGCAAGGTTGTTCTACGAAATCTGTCGTAGAGCAGTCGCAGAGAGGTGCGTTGCATGTTGTGACCATGGCTAGTGCGCATGCATGTTATACTACTACTAATAATAATTAAACGAGTTTGTATAGCGCATAACACATTGGCATAATTGCATGTCACTATGCTGCTGTATTCATTGGAATTTATTTGTGATCATAATTATAACCACGTGCTATATATCCATAACAACTCTAGGACAACTGTGATCTCCTGGACTATCACATATAGTACCTCTGGGACAAATACATGCTCATTTAACTACTAAGAGAGCTACATTTACTTTGCAATTTAGAAAAAAGTGAGTCAATCAGCCAATAACTCATACAAGACAGAAATCTTTCACCTCGAATCACCTCGAATGGCCAAGACTTTTTCAGTTTTGGAGTAGGTTTCGCAACGTGACAGTGGGTATTATGGTAGGTATTTGACTTACGTGGGCCTACATATATTGTTAATCTAGGTATATACTAAATTTACATGTAATCCAGAACATTCACCCCCATATTAATGAGTTTTCCACTATCCTATTAACATGCATGTCATATCGTACATTGCAGCTCGTGAGAAAGTCTGGACTTGTGGTTTCATGTAGCCTGTTATTGTGGTTTCATGTAGCCTGTCATTGTGGTAAAACCTATTTTCAGAACCTTTTAGGTGTCATGCTTTTTGTCGATTTTTTTTAAAATTCCTTTTTGTTTCATCAAGACATTGAGGCATTTTGATTTTTTCATGTGGTCAAAATTCTTTGTAAAAGACACACTATGGTAAAATGTGTGGAAATGTATAGTATCCACCGTATAGGTTATTTTTGAGGTTGATTCGAGGGAAGAAATTCTGAAAACATTTGAATTGTTTTTGTTTATGACATCGTTGTTCCTCTTGACATCCATGAACAGTTCAAATTCCATTCAAACACTTTCGACGCTGACCTCCTTCTGCAAGATTTGATTCACAAAGTCACAGATGAGCAGGGGCGTCGTTGTTTTTGAGGAGGCCCATTAGGTTCAGAACCCAAACCAAAAAAAGAGAAGTGGTTATTGTTGCCGACAAATGTTTTTGAAAAGTCGTATCTTTACATTTTGCCTGGCGTGTTTTCTGTAACATTAATAACAAAAGGTGAAATATATTTCAATATCGAGAAAAATGTAACCTTAGGAGACTTCGTCGTTATTTTCGGCCATGTGACATGCCATATAAAACGGATTAGTCTCCGGTAAACCAATATCTACCAACAGATGGCGTAACATTAAAAAGACAAAAAAATGATTTAGTTTTAATGACAATCTTCGTGTAATTTTCCACTATTTATTTGTTCACTCACTCACGGAGGAGAAACTGTCAGAGGAGCAGTGTCGTGCGGAAAGTATTTGTCACCGGTACATTTATCGATTCATGGGGAGTAATTGTCGGCGGAGAAATTGTCGTAAGAGCAAATATCGGCGTAGCAAAAACTTGTCGGCGGAGTAACTATCGGAGGAGCATTTGACGTCGGAGCAAATGTCCCGGAGCAATTGTCGCATTTTGCGGAGTAAACGTCGGCGGAGCAATCGTCGGCGGAGCATGTGTCATGGATTCTTCCACAAATATCGCCATTATGTAAAAGCGAAAAGCACAACGTCACAAACATAAAATGAAACGATACAAAGAATGATATAATTTCATGGAAAAGATGGGATTTAATGTAGGCTTTGTCAGAACGGAACATGAACCAGTGACGCATGCAGACCTTGGCCTGGGGAGGGGCTAAACATGTTTTGAGGGTCTTTGTTTGCGTTATGGGGGGGGGGGGGGGGGGTAGCGTCCATATATATAATATGGCTTATTTTTAAAATTATGTTTTTTTTTTCTTCTCCCCCCCCCCCCCCCCCCATATAATTCCCACAATGGGTATTTTTTAACCTTTATAACAAAAACATTTGTTGGGAGGTACTTAATTACTGTACAATGATTCCCTAACCTATTATTAGGTTATACAACATTAAAACCTGTCATGTTTCTCCCGAAAAGCTGTTAGGAGAGTGTACTGCCCTTTGCCCCTCCTTCGAACAACTAGTAGACTTGACGATATGAACTGATAGTCTAATTAGTAATTCCATAGTGTATTTATATAGTAGATATATGGCACAATTAGTCATCAAAACCATAACCATGATAATGTGTATTTATATCCGACATTAACCGACCAATTCTAAGATCTTTGTTGATACATGTTACCGGGCACCAAATCAAAAGTGTTTATGCAAATGTGATATTTGTCTATACTTAATCATGATGATACATTTCGTCTTATGGAAAATATATCTTACAGTACTAGCATGGTCTTTTGTTCCTGACCCTTCCAATGCTGAAGGCGTTTTTAATCGCCTACATTCTCACATTTCATCTGAAACTTCATTTTCGAAATCAAGACGAATTCATGCATTGTGAACATGGTGAAGATAACAAATTGTGAGTATTGTCATGATTACGTACATCGGAATGGACAGGTTCAATGCATCAAAACGTGAACATTGACCCTCAACATTTAGAAGCAGCTTAAGAAAATTTGATGCCACTGTATCTGTTAATCCAATTTTCATGACTATTTGTATTAGAAATTATTTTGAAATGACTTGATTGTCACAGAATAATGCTCATCGACGACGTCTTTCTTCGTTCCTAACCAGCCATGCATCGCCATATCGGGCGAGTACTTCGAGGCCTCGGGGCGGCGGCCGTATGATTCGGCGAGAGCTCGGGTGTAGTGAGGGGCGTTGCCGCAGCACAGTCCCACGTATGGGATTTTGAGCTGAGCACAGCGTTGCCCGAATTCGATGACGTCTCGTCGCGAGCAGAGCAGGCAGTCCATATCGGGGAACGCTCGTTCACCTGCAGGTATCATGATAAACATGGTATAAAATTATACGAAGGATGAGAGGAAAAAAACACAAAAACATCGGTCACTTATTTAACAAAAATCTAGTAAGTCCATAATTGAATGATGGGACGCACCCCAAAACGGGCGATTTAAATATAGTCCCTCTATGTAATTGTTAAGTTATGGGACTCAATTCGAAACTGTACATTACACAATCTGCCTGTAACGCTAACGATATTATTGGTCAACACTATCCCACTTCAAGGATCAGGACCAGAACAAATTCAGATGCAGAAGACAGATGAAGAGAAATCAAAAGTTTTCGCAATTATGACTTCAGCAACTAATGGCTTAAGCTACGGGGTACATCAAAGCGAAGAACGCGGAAAAGAGAAATTTAGCAAATGAAGAAGAAAAGAGGGGGCATGAAAAGGAGACGACACGGCCCCCACCAAACACCCACCCCTTTTATTTTGTAATGGCCTTGTTAAGTTGCATTACATCCATCGAGCAATTTTGGTGCCCAGCCCCTCATCTACACCACGCCCCTACCGTACACTGATGGAAAACCGAGTGATAACTGCCACAAATAACCGTTTATTTGCCTTTTTCTTTCTTTTAGTTTATTTTCCATCATCCCATGTGGACCCCCCTTGATAGGGTTTGTGTCTGTACACTACTACTGACCTGTCTTTGGGTCCGGCAATGAATGGAAAGAAGGATACTCGTCCGTAGTTCTGTAGAGTACTGGCAGGACGGCTAATGGCACCTGGTGATTAAGACATAAACAGAGACGAATATTTTTACCATGGACCCTAACACTCGACAATCTGATGACCGACCAGCAAAGTCAAAATCTGAGGACTACTTTCTTATAACTTTGCTTGTTTAATTTTCATCGACCCTGTACGCAAATTTGGTCCAACAACCCATTCAATATAGTCACCTATACACCCCCACCCCCTGTGAATACACAGTAGTGTTAACTCTTCTTTGTGTTGCCGCTCACATTTCAATTGTCAAGATATTAAAACAACCGGGAAAGACTTTCATAGAATCCAGTGAAAAAAATACACGGGGGCTCGGGGCTCGGGGCGAATTAGCCCCCGAAATGCCTAAAAGAGCCCCCGAAAATCAGAAAAGAGCCCCTGTAGTTTGCATAGAGTTCAATACAAAACAAATTTTAGAATGTTATTTCATGCAGGCAAGCTTGAAAAATAGCCCCCGAAAAATAAATATTAATTTTTTCCCTGATAGAATGTATTTCAAGCACTTGGATGGATTGACTATCATAGTTGATTTACTGTAATTTATCTACGAGACAAGACGGGAAGTGTATCATTGATCGACAATTGAAAGCCTTGTTGACCTTTATCCCTGCATTGGTAGCACTCTCAACCAATGTCATGATGGTTTCTGGTCCTCGTGTGCAGTTGAACCCGACCACATCAGCTCCTGCCTCGACCAGTCGCCGAAGCGCCTCATTCATTTCGACCCCATCTATCGTGCAAGGTCGGCCCTCATCGTCGTACTTCACGTGTGACGACAGCGTGACAACTGCTGGTACGCCTTTTTATTGCAAAGGGAGAGAGAGTTAAAATAAAAGGATGTGAAGCGTCATCATATTATCATTATTATGTAATTATGCAATTCTAACTTTATCCGATCTTATTTGACTTTTTTAAAAAGCAAATGCAGCTGTGAACACTATTAGGCTCTTCATCATCTGCCTTGCAAAAATCCGGGTGATTGATTTTAAAAACATGTACTTTTCGTTTAGATATAAACCACTTATCCTAATAAGGCTATCATTAAAAAATCACTCAAAAAATTAATGCATGCGCTGTGTTTCTTGGTTTTTTCAGACGTGTATCGATCAGATATGATTATTTACGTCTGGGGACCGACCTTTAACGTCACCATCCAAATTCGTGACTCAGTTTCGAACCGGGGTCCATCTGAGCCAGTTTGTAGGCGAAGATAGAGAGCTGACCAAGTGAACGTGCCGCTAGACCAACTCTCATATCCATATGCTGTACACTTTTACTGTGTTATTACCTACGCTACTAAAACCTTTGTAGTCAATGCATTAGCAAGGAATTCAACACAGCTTTTTTCACTGTTAAGTTTGTCTACAATTTCGGTCCAATCCTTTTCTAAAATGACGCGTAAAAAAAAAACACGCCAATCGCTGACGCAGTCGTACGTCAGAAAATGACCCTCGTGCGCAACGAGCATGTATCTTTAAGTTGCAATGATACCCATTTCATAACACTGAGAGGCGTGATATGCCTGACGTAGTACTGCGCAGGCGCGGATCCAGGATTTCTTAGGGGGGGGGGTGGCAAATTTGAAATCAATTTGGAATTGAGTGTGCTGAAATGTGAAAATCATGCCTGCCGATTTCCCCCGGTTTGGAGGGGAAGGAGGGGGGGGGGGAGTGAGCAATAATTTCTTTTTCTTTATTTTTTGCCCCTGGAAATTTGAAAATCGTGCCGGCCGAGATTTCGCTCAGTGGGTGGGGGGGGGGGGGGGGGAGGGGTGGCATAGTGCCTTGGGGCAACAGAGAAAAGGTTCATTTCTGGTCATAATTTGTTCGGGGCCTGCATAATGTACAGTGCACACATTTGCATTATGAGGTGAAGGCCTTCATAGACCTGATAGGTGCGGGTAATGACGCATTAATGACCCCCTACCTCGACCCCGGATGCAAAAGACATTGAACTTAGGCTGTATAAACGTCATCGTCTTGATTTGCCCCAGGTGCCGTTTCTAGCGCCTACCTTTGCCATATTCCTTGATGGCCTGTGCTGCAAGAATGGCCTCTCCGACGTACCCAAAGGTCTCACCCACAATGTAATCGGCTCCTTCGTCAACAGTCCACTCAACTTGTTCCTAATTAAAATCCAAAAATTCAGGCAATCAGGTAATACCAATGAAATTTATTACTCACTTTTTTCCGACCTATGACTTAGAAAAATGATACGAAGCATTACCTTTTCTTCTCATATCCCAATTTTTCTTGCAAGATACGATTGCCAACCGCATTTGCATTGATGGAGTTATTCAAGGATATTCATTTCAAGATTACAATTTGCATTATTTGTCACTTTTATTTTTTTTGCAACGACGTATCTTAATTCGTTTTACTTTACACCCCCCCCCCCTCCCTCTCCTCCACCTCCCTCCGCTTACGAAATTTATGAGCAGTTCTAGTTCTAGTGAGAAATGCGTTCTTCGAGCATTTCCATTGTGAAAGAGGAATCAATAGATTTTTAGAACAACCTGCTAATAAAGTCAATTTGACCTTTTGGCTTCTCTGCCATTGGAAGGTTTTCACGAGCACTGTGTACATACTATATAAACCATCATAAATAATGAATCAGAAAGGATTAATAAATGAATAAAACTATAAATGAGTGTGCAAATATCACTGTGCAAATCAATTTACAAGCCTCGAAATGTCCATTACAAAAGCACGAACTGCGTGACTGTACATGAATGAGTGCGCAGATAATTTTTCAGGGATCTAGGGACCTTTTTTTTTTGCAACGTCGTAACGACAACGCTGCCTTTCCTTTCGAAAATGACATTGAGCTCGTGCAAATTTTGATGACATGTTAAGCATATATTATCTCTAGAATTTTAGAAATATTCTAAAGTCAAATATTACACTAATATAAGGGAAAATTCTTGGCTGACTTCATGTAAAATCCTAAGTCCGGCGACGTAGGACTCCCTTATCATACAGACACCCGATATTCTATTCTTCCTGTTTTACCTTGAACATCTCCTTCGTTTTCTCGATCGCCTCGTCATTGTCGGGTTGGTAAACGAACGTGTTACTGAGATCACCGCACATCAGGGTCCCAGTGCTGTCGGCGACCTCCCGTGCCATCTTGAGGGCGAGACGGTTTTGTTTCTCGAGCTCGTCGCCGCGACCGACGATGCCCATCTTATATCTGTTTCCATAGTACTGACACAATAACACATCTATTTTCATGTGAGTGTCAATATGTCAAATAGTATTCATCTCAATCGCTTTGACCTACAGCAGTTCAATGCCTCCTTTTATGTTACATTTAAATGATATATGTTGATCTAGAATGCTAGCGCTTAGAGACTTCGGTGGTAAGCGCTTTATAAGTAACGTTTTTATTATTATTATTATTATTATTATTATTATTATTATTATTATTATTATTATTATTATTATTAGGACTCACAAGTAGGCGTTGTGGTGTGCGCCTGTAATCCAGCTAACAGTGGAAGTTACAAACTGATTCAGCCGAGGACGCAGGTTCGAAACTGAGTCACGTCTTTCGGATGGTGACGTTTAAAGGTCGGTCCCCAGACGTAAATAATCATATCTGGTTGATACACGTCTGTAAAAACCCAATACGCTCACACAAGCTAGGAATCACACATTATGCATGAACAGTGAGAGAGAGCTAATATCACAGAAATAGTTGAGTCAATAAATCACGCAGGAGCGGCAGGACATTGGGCCGTTCGTGAATAAGGGAGATATAATTGTACATAATTTGGAATCGAGGTGCCAACATTTTGGGTGTACACAATTGGAATTGTTAGTTTTCATCTCTGGACAAGAGTAAGGGAAATACATGCATACACGGGGAGTAAAAATCATGCTTGATACCAATTAAGTTGTATATCATTTTGTAAAAAAATGCCTTTTATAGGTAACAATAATTATATTGACAGGGCTTTTTTCGGGGAACGTCATATACACTGTATACATATTGACCGCGCTAAGACCACATTGCCTTCGTCTTCAACTCGGGGCAATATGGTCTTAGCTTGGTCAATATGTCTGATGTACCCCTCAAGCCCAGTCAATATAATATAGATATTTACCGTGAAAGCTTGGACTACGTCACTTCCTGCGCGCACGAAATCTTTGTACATCTGACGTACCAGCTCGGGATGATCCATTACAACTTCAGGGGTGTACGGCCCTGCTTTCAGGTATCCCAGACGCTCAAATGCAAATATATACCCCTCAGCAACAATGACAGTTTCCCCATCTTGAATGCGTTGTAGTAGACCTGTTGGTCGAAAAGGAACCTGAATGACACACGAGAAGACTTCCAAATAGCAAGAAGATTCATGTTCAAATTACGAAGTATGTCAACTTAAACATAAACTTTAGTACTAGTAATGCGATTGCATTGTGAAAGAAAAGGTGTGGAAAGGATCAGAAATAGTTGATCATGTAGCATGTAAGTATTGGTGTGCACTGCAAGGTTCTGGAGTCATCAAAATCATAATAAATTTGACCGAGTCTTGGTAAAGTAACAACCACAAAACACAGAAAGCTATATATAGATAGATAGATAGATAGATAATTTATTGGTCCATATTCAAAAACATAGACAATTGGCCTCCACTGGCAGCACATAAACATAATACAAAGTAGTTACAAAATAATTGATATGTCACATAATGTACATAAATTCACACGAGATCATGACATTAACAAAAAGCATAAGTATAAATTACATAGTAATAGGGAAAACTTAAGAAAGAAGTCGACATTCAAAGATTGAGAAGTGAGGAAAAAGTCGTAAGGAGACTGAGGAGCAAAAATAGTAATAAGAGAGAGAGGGGAGAGGGGGGAAGAGACAGAGAGGGAGGGGAGAGATAGAGAGATAGAGAGATAGAGGGAGAGAGAAAGAAAGATAGGAACGAAAGGTGGACGTAAGGAGAGAAGAGGGTATAAATAGAGGGAGGGGAAAGAAAAGGAAAGGAATGGGGACGAGTTATACACGACACATGTAACTGTCTATCTGAGAGGTAATAGACCAGTTTCGCAGTGTATCCACGCTGAATGCGCAGGTCCCCGCGAAGTGCGCGGACACGAATGACTCCTCCCACCCGCCAGGAACAATCGTATTCCAACAGGCGGAATGCGAGTTGCACACGAAAGACGCTACCAGGCTGGCAATACATTAGAGCTCGCCCAACCTAGCAACAACCAACGTACGCAACTCACACCCCGCCCACCAAAACACAACCACTCCCAACGGTGAATGGAGCCACCCGCATCCAGGCACCCCGACAAAGACCCACGCACCCAACCCGAACCCACTGCGGAACTGGTCCATTATGTTGCACATTTTAAAAAACCGGCTTTATGGTACTAGTTATGCGTAAAAACAGAGCAGAGGCAAGATTGAACGGTGGGTCAATTGGCAGGTGTTACAAGGAAAATATAAATATATGGGACAACACACATGGTGTCGGGGCTAGTACTACCTTGATTTCCTTGTCTTTCTATGCTCATTACTCAGCCAGTATACATTTTCTTCCAAAATTGTTTGGCACATGTCATTTATTTGTAATCTTGAACATTCAGTGTAAGTTTTGTTTGATTCTGTGAGAATTAATTTTCTTTTTTTACCAGAACTGGAGTTTATCTTTAATGTTCGCAGATTTGAAAAGGTGACGTGCATTGCCATTGAAATTTCGATTGAATAATAATATTTTCTTACGAATTGCCCCCCCCCCCCCCCCTCGCCGCCGACTGGATCCGCCCCCGGGTCCACAATTTACAAGCTCTGCTTTTCAGTGGACCACGATCTCCATTTCCACAAGTGTATTAATTTGTTGTATTACTTCTTCCTCTGTCAATTGTTATAATAAGTTTACATACAATTTGCATGATATTATTTTATCTTTTGTGGGAATGAAATAAATGAATGAAACCCATACAGGCTTGGCCCGCAGAAAAACAGCCTATAGCTCTGACACCTATCTAGGGCTATCGGGAAAATACATTTATAGTCAATATTATCGAGTCATTTTGCGGTGCAACTCAGGTATTAGAAATGAAAATAACAGATTTTGAGTACATGAAACAAAGACAGATACACCCAACAAGACTCTAATAACTTAGTAGGTACATACCTTTAGCCTTGGACATCCTCAACGACTTCCGTTTCCAGCGCGTTTACCAAACGAGTACAGGTCAAAAATGACGACGTCTATATTTCCTTCCTCTGTTCTCAATGATTTCATGCACGCAGCAATCAAATCATTACGGAGGTTCAGTTTTATAATCCAATAGCCGTTGAAAGGTTACATTTGATTATTCGAACGTTGCGGGCAATACGCATGTATTGTAGTAATATTCAACATTATGTATTGAAGTTTGATCTGATTGTGTGTTTTTTTCAATGCATTTTCATGGATAAGAATAACAAGATTGCCTTTGTACATGAATCGAATATGGTTGCTAAAATGTTGGTTAACCCATTACAAAGCAGTACAAGGTTCACCTAAGACTTGTTGAGGTTCTGGTTCCGTAGCTTGTTGTCACAACCGGCAGAGGTTGATTAAAGTAGTTTAGTTTTTGTTTCTCTTATATCTGTTTGTGTTCCCCTCTTATTTTTGTTCATATCTACATGCAAATATGTCGGTTTTTATAATATGTTCCCATCCTATTCCTTTTCATTGTTCATAATGTTATATGGACCTCTACTCTTGCAGCTGAGTTTGGAATTGAATAGAGTACATACACAACGTACATCCATCTTCTCCATTTTCCTATAGCAACGACTAGTCTGCCGGTACAGTCGCTTATTTGACACTAGACCACAATTCCTAAAGCCTTGAGCAGAGCCTTGCTCTGTCAGTCTCTGGCTTGGGGAGTTTTGAGTTGGTCTAGTGGTACGTTCACTTGGTCAGCTCTCTGTCTGAAGGCTGGCTCAGGCGGACCCTGGTTCGAAACTGAGTCACGTCTTTCAGACGGTGGCGTTAAAGGTCAGTCCCCAGATGTAAATAATCGTTTGTAATTGATACACATCTGTTATTACCCAATTACACGCACACACACACACAAAAAAAAACACGCACACAAATACACTACAAAGGACAAGGATTTGAGCCTGCAAACTCACAATAGTCAATAAAACCATAATTTTTTTTTTTTTAAATTTCTTCATGCGAATATATGGTTACTCGTTTATGTGAAATGTGTAAAGTGACAAGAAAAAAATATTCATCGAGTTGCATTTTTATCAAAAAAGTGTCAGAGAGAATTTCTTTTAACGGGGGAATGATTATTGGTTGGTGTTCTAGAATTTACATGTCTTGAAATGATATAGTAATGGTGCCTGGGCCCTTTTCTGATAGAGGTCATGAATCAGAACCCATCATAATTATTGCTTAAGTTGTTTGAATAACGCTGGTGTTATGAGTGTTATATTTGATATGGACAAAGTAGGTTATATATTCTAGTTCGTGTAGATTAGAGGGTTTTATCATATGGTTATTCAATATGGACCTGTTTTGACATTGGTTGTAAATTTTAAAAAAAAGACTTTATCCTTAAAAAATTAAAATACACTGAGGTTAAGAGCGCTATATTGGACTCTTTTTAGTTTGCTTAACAGTGTACTGACATTTTATGACATCCGATTTCTCCTGAGGTAGATTAAAAAAAAGGAAGAAAATAGCGCTGATCCAACACACCCTTTACATATAGTCACATATGAGGTAGAGAACAACAATAAAATATAATTTCGAGATCCGTTTACTTTATATTATGTCCCTGCACTAACAATACAACGGCGTCACACATCCATGACATCGGGGTGAATTAGGCGTTATAGCTTTATACAAAATTATGGACACGCTCTTACGGTTTGGTTTATGTATATCGAGGGCTCAAATAGTTTAATTGATGATTTTTATTCGCCAAGCTTCCATTATACAACAATATACAAGAATAACAGGTCAAAATTAAGTCAGCTTGAACAGGATAACCCATGAAAGCTCGAGGGCTTATTTCCAGTAGAAACTGCATTGTTCAATTGATGGATACATCGCAATATTATTGAGCCAAATTGGGAATACATGTACATGTATAATTATGTCAGACATTTATGATTATGTCAGTGATTTTGTCAGCACAATGGCAGAAATGTGTTC